CAGTCATGGCTCACACCTCAACCCTTCTGTGCATGGCAGGGAGCAGAGCTCAGACCCTCCTATACAGAGATACTGCTGCACAGTGTGATTCCAACACCCGGAGAAGCTCAGCGAGAGTTCTGTGTTTCTCTGCTCCATCTCTTTCCCCATGCAGAACTGAAATCTCAAAATCCCACATCTCTTGCCAGAGGAAAAAGTGGGGAAAACATCAGCCTGGCTGACAAAGAGAATATGAACTGTTTTTACACTGCCAAGGAAGCACATCGAATTCAGTAGGCTGACAGGAAGAAGCTTTCCACAGGTTTCATTTTTCAGTTTCCTTCCCCATTTGCATTGCTTTCTATTTCAGTAAGATATGGAGTGCTGGTAAATTTCCAGTGCATGGAAAGTGTGGGTATTAAACCAAGGCTTAAAAAAGACAAATCTGATCAGCTCAGTCACTGATGCCTTCACCCGGTGGCCAAACTGGACAAGAGAATGGTTCTGGTAAACAATTTAACTGACAATGATTGAAGAGGAATTAATATACTATTAACAAAAGTCAACATAATTTCAAAGAAAAAATCGGTCTCAAATAAGCCCAATCTTCATTGAGACTACAGGACTGAGTCAAAAGTAAGGGCACAGAGGGGATATGGGAGGCACCCAGCATCCAACCACTAAAAGTACAGCAGAAGAGTTTTGACTGATCCAAAGACTCATTAATTGAGTCACAGATTCAAACCCATCCAAGACCACAGAACCATGCAGGTATGCCAACATAGATGGTCTGTCTGCCCCCTCTGGCCATCAGTCCAGAGGGAGCTGTATTTTTAGCAGCTATTTGATTCAAATTCCTAATAAACAACAGGAGGAAAGCCCTTGATGCTTGAGTCACACTCAGTGCTTGAAAGCCCTTGATGCTTAAGCAAACCCTCCTGCCACTTTTTTTTTTTTTTTCCAGTGAAAACAGGAAAATCTGCTCAGCATCGTTAGTGTCTGAGTAAATAAATAAATGCACGTTTCCATCACTGCTCACCAAAAAGGGGTATAAATGGAATATTCTCCCCTTTATTAAGTGACCTTCAGAGCCGGTAATGTCTTGCAACCTGGCTGTGCAATGGCCCAGGAAGAGCTACCCCAGACAAGCGCAGTACCTCTCTGTGCCTGGCAGCTTGCCTGACACTGCAGACCCCACTCCCACACTTTTCTCCATCGGGTTTCCTGCAGCAGTGGTGTCTCAACAACGCTGGCCCTGCTCAGCAGCCAGCTCTGACTCCTACACTCAGCACTGAGAGCACAAAGGAAAGCAGCGTTCTGCACTGCGTGCTTATCTCCCTCATAAAGAAGCAGGGCACTTTTGTTTATTGAGTGCCAATGAATGGCACAGTCTTGGCTGCGAGATCAGCCTCCAGGTCCTGCTCTGGGCACGGCTGCTGGCAGGGAGCTGGAGGCTGCATCCATTTATTGGCACGAGCTGATAAGATATTGGAACTGTCTTCAGCATTTTCAGGGCAGTATTATTGAGGAACCCTGAGCTCCTACCTGCAAAAGCTGATGGTTCAACCTCTGCCTTCCAGCCATCATCCTTGCACAGCAGTTTTCACAAAATATCTTCTATAAACAGCAGGGTCTTATTTTTTTCTGCCTGGGCTGTGACAAAACCATCTGTTGTAAGGGATTTTTGGGGGTGTTTTCTTGCTGCTCAGCTCAGCAGGATCTTCTTCAGCCCAACAGTAGTCATACTGAAACACACAAAGGACATACTGGGCCCCAGAAGCCAGCTACCTGTGTGGGAAGTGGTGTTGGAAGGGAGCAGCTCCAACCAGCAGCACAGCATCTGATCAATCTCAGCTCTGTCCTCAGGGGAAATCAGAAAGCACAAAGTTTTCTTTTTTCTCCATCTTAGAGGGAAGAAAACTCAAAACATTTGTTCTTCTGGAAAGACATTGCTGTTTCCAGAGGAAATGTGAGTCTGCAGAGGCTGTGCTGAAAAAAAAAAGCAAGAGGAAGATTCATACCTAAGCTCACGTTCTCCTCCAGCTATTTTGTTACCCAGTTCTTTGGTCAACTCTCCTGTCCTACTTCTCACTGCATTCTAAAGCTCCTCTTTATCAGCACAATAAGACATAATTAGAGTTTGGGGCTACCAAGAGCACTTGTATCCTCATTCTATGCTCATGCCCCAGTCTTGAAGTACTGCTTTGGAGCTGAGTCTGTCCTGTGTATGGACCTGCAGCATCCTGGTACCTTTTTCTAACATCTGCTTTGTGGGTTATGAAGTAACAGAACTGAACAATTTCTCAAGCTTTTAATTGGAAATAGCTAAAAATACCAATGCTATTTCTGACCAATGCATGTGCAATCTCCCCACGTCCACAGGGCAGCAGGAGCAGGACTTGCAACAACACCTTGGCTTTCTAGAGGAAGCAAATAGAGATGCCTTGTCTGCTTCCTCTTCCTGCTTCAATTTTTCCACCTACTCTATTGTTGCTGTCTTACTCATCTCCTGCCTGAGAAGGCAGCCCCAGCCTTTCAGTCCCTCCACATGGGAATGCATTCAGCTCTGTGTATTCATTTGGCTTTTAACAGATCATTTTCCCACCAATTTATCCAATTACTTTCTGAACACAACATTTATATTTTGGCCTCAAACATTTCACAGCAATGAGTCAGCGTTAGAACTACGCACAGTGGGGAAAACGTACCTTTTTTGCTTTCTGCAGGTGCTGTGGGATGATTTCATTTGGTGCCACCTAGTTGAGAAACAGCAGATAGCAACCACCTACGCAACCTTCATTCCTTCCCAGGAGATGTAATACTGCTGTGAATAGAATAAAAATTGCTCTGTATACTCTTTTCTGAGCATCCTTCCTGTGCCTTGTACGCTTTACAGTTCTGCTGTCTCCCTGCTGGAAAAGGCAATAGCTTTGGGCTCTGGTGTTCAGTGAACAAACTGATCCCAATCTCACTCATCCAAAGCAACCTTCAGCATGGGTTAAACCTTCAGACCTAGGCAAGGAAGGAAGACAGAGGCAGTATTCTCCATCTTCATGACACCTACCTGACTTCTTCATTTCCAGAGCCGCTTCGAGGAAGATGAGAACTGGAACAACTATCAATCAGAAAGGAAACCAGATTCCTTTCCCTTTTAAAAGAAAAAAGCAGAATAACAGTGTTTAGCATGGACACAAATTAAAATTGCAGGGTACCAATCAGCAGGAAATTTTGTCAAATGGTGGGATATCATCTGTGCTCCTGTCAGCTTGTAACAAGCTCTGCAGGGTCATAGCTGAGCCACTCACACAGTCCTGAAAACCCTGCAGGTATCAACTATCCCTAAACCAAGCAATGCAAAGGTTGCACTGATTTTTGTAGCACTGTTGTCTGGCCTCAGCTGATCAGTTGAATGCAGTCCTCTGGGGTTCACTGCCTGCATGTTACCTTCTGGTCTTTTACTGGGAACTGTACACCACCTCACTGCTGAGAGCAGCCAGGTTTTGATGGTATTGTTGTGTAATTAATCATCTGATTCGAGTTCTACTTAGGCTTTCATTTCTAAGCTGTTCTGTTCATTAATGTTTAAACCGTGAACATGCTGGAGACATTTTATCTGAGGACTGTGCTGGTTAGCAGGAGCTGGAAATGGAGTGAGAAACATCCTGCTCACCTCCCAGGAGGAACACTTGATCATTCTGTTGGAGATCTGTAAGTTATTATGAAGTGGAAGGGGCTCTAATGATGAGAGTTAAAAAGGTGTAGACATTATAGTCAAAAAGGAGGAAAAAAAGATATATGTATATATATGTAGCCTTTATTTTATATACATGTTTGCTTCTTTGTTTTACAAGAAGGTTCATGCACAGTAAAATCTAAATCATCAGGAGGATACTGTGAGGTGCCTGAAAGGCACCAGGAAAAGGTAAATAGTAGCTAGGAAGCAAAAGGGAATACTCCTGTTTGTAATGAATTAGTGTCTTTATTTAGAAATAAATAAGAAAATAAGAAAATAAGCAAATTGGAAACAGAAGACAAACGCTACTTCATTTTTTTGCTCCTTCAACCGTGTACTGCAACTGCAACCAGCATTTTACATCCATAGCAACTACAGGCTTAAGATGGAGTTACCTGTCTCCAAGAGATTAAGGATAAAGATAACATAACTGGAAAGAACAAGTTTCTTGTTGACTTTCATCCAGTGCAAATATTTGATGCCAAGTCAGCTGAAGAAAAGAGCAGCTGGGGGGTTGCTCTGATTTCCCAGCACCTCCATATTGTCAGCTGAGTGCTTCTCTTAGTGTCACAAAATCACAGAAACACCATGGTTGGAAAAGACCTTCGAGATCATCCAGTCCAACCTGTCACCAATAGTTCTCACTAAGCCATGTCCCTCAACACAAAATCCAAACGTTCCTTGAACACCTCCAGGGTCAGTGACTGCACCACCTCCCTGGGCAGCCCATTCCGTGCCTGACCACTCTTTCAGACAAGTAGTATTTCCTAACGTCCAGCCTAATTCTCCCCTGTCGCTGCAAGAAGAAAACCTACTACCACCAAGGCCACCCAGCCCAGCAGCTGCTATGCAGCAGCAGACTGGAGATAATGATACATCTCTGAGGTAGTTACTTAACATCCCTCTCATGCTATCTGCACAAGTTCTGATGACACCGCCTAGGCTTTGGCATGTCTATCTTTTGTCCTATCTCCTACATCAGCCCACCACCCCCTCCAGCAGCTGGTGCTGCCCAGATCTGCTCCCGATGAGCCCCAGTCATACTTTCAGTCCTTCAAGCTTATATCCTGAACGTGTTTCCTGGTTAGCTCCTCTTTAGCACAACAAAGCTGACATATGATGACACCATTAAGTCAGCTCCAGTCCCTCCTGCAGCCAGGGGTACTCAAACAAGAGCTCTCCTCCTCATTTCCATGCAGCACCGCACAGCTCACCAGTGTATTTCTGACAGCAAGCATAAAGGGACCCAGCTCTGTCTGACATACCTCAAATGGAATAGCAGACCGTGTAGAGACATGAAATAATTAAGTGCTTATTTTATTTCCAGTGAGAGCAATATGCCCGAATGCATCTCTCCAGAACTGGAGTTAAAAACAAATACCTTGTTGGTATACATCAAAATTCCAGGCAAGAACTTATGACATACTACCAGAGATTACACACACTCAAAAGACAACTGCTGACACAAACCCAGCACAAAACCTGAGGGGTAGCATGGCCTAAGAGATCAGCTCTGAGTAAGTCCCTAGGCCTAAGGCTACAGCTCAAGTCTAAAAGTCCTTGTCCAGTGCTGTAGCATTCATTCCATGCACTCCATGGCCTGAGATGATAGAATGCCTTAAGAAAAAAGAATCATTTTATTGCCCCTCTTTCAGTAGCATTGTTTGCATGTCTGAAATACAGCATCTGGTCACTGATGATTATTCACTGGGGAAAAAGGGGAAGAAAGCACCAGACCTGAAGCTGTGGGTTGATTTTGGATGTTACAAGCTGACATTTTTATACAAGCTTTCAGACTGAGAATATCCCTTTAAATACTGCTTAGAGGATGGGATATGCTGAATCGAAACCTATTCTGAATGAGCTGAACATACCTAGATTACAGTAGACATCCAAACAGCTTGTGTGCAACTTCCCACTGCCATTAGTGGGCCATTAGTTGAGGCACATTATGAGATGTGTAACAGGAAGAGAAGAGCACATCAGTAGTCAGTCACTGCACAGTTAAAAAGCAATAAATGCTTACAGCCATTTACAAGGTATTCAGATCACAAAACTGGGAAGTTTGCTCAGCACAGTTGATGCTAATTCCACAACAGTGCTAATGTTACAGCTGGCCAGACCAGTTTCTAAAATGCAAACTTACATTATGCTTTTCACAAAGCTCTGCAAACTTTTTTACAAGTACACAGGCACATCTCACAAAGAGGATGTGAGGAATCTCTCTTGGAAAGTGCAAGGGAAAATTTACTTTCAGGCAAGCTAAGGCCTCTTCAGGATTATGGAGTTGCACGTATTTGTAAAATAAAACTGGAAGTCTGTCAAAGACACAGCTTACAAGTCTCATCTAACAAGCCTGGCAGGAGTTGGAGCAAAACTCCTTAGGTTTTGTTTAGAACTCGAGATTCCCCTCTGATAAAGCCCATTCCCTTCTGCTAGGAGCTATGTCATGGCTATCGCAGAGTCTTCAGTGCTGCTCTCCTGCTCCAAGCCCACGCGGCGGATGGACTCCCTGTATTTCTGCCGTCCCAGCTCAATGATGGTTTCGACCTCATCAGCGATGTCCTGGCGGCCACTCTCTTTCATGGCTGTGATCAGCTTGCTCACACAGTTGGGATCCTCTGAGTTTTGCTGGGCCCATGAGAAAAGCATGTCCAGGATTTGCTTATCAAGGTCCTCTCTGAAGAAAAGGAAAAGCAGGGAAGTAACCAAGACATTCTCTCCTGACTGGCAATCCAAGGAGGCTTTACCTTAGTCCAAGCCAAGAGCTGAAGCTCCCAATAAAGTAATCCAGACACAGAGCTCTCAGTGGACTGTCTTTTCCCCAGCCATCACACAGGAGTTGCAGCTCCTGCACTAAAATCCCTCCAGAATCTTTCTCTAACAGAAATTTCAAATTAAAGCATTCTGATTTGGAACGTAATTCCCCCATAGGAACAGTAGGTCAGTCATAACGAGCCACACTCTTACTTGACTTTTTGGTCAGGATCTTTTGAATATAGATATTTACAACTAATGCCACGGTTTATGGCTTACTGTCAAAGATGGAGTCCAGCCAGGAAGCCAGATGAGAGAATGAAGCAGGAATGTGATGCATCTGAACTACAAAGCTCATCAGGCTGGTTATTTCTAAATACTGTTTTAAAACATCAAACTTTTTTTCATAGCAACAAGATAAAATAATGTTTTCCATGAAAAATGTAGTGCTTTGAGAAGAATTGTTGGCTAACCCATCTTTTATCCAGTGAAACAACACCAGTGAAAAACTTTCCATTAATCAAGCAGTAATTTATCCTACTGTACTGCAGCTACATGTGCTGTTGATTCTTGTGTCCCATCTTACCTGTTATTGTATCCTATGCGCTCAATCTGTTGATAGGTCAAGCCCAGGTTCAGGCCAATGGTCTGCCAGTCAGCTCCCACACGCCTGGCGATGCTCAGAAGGTTTGCCTGTGTCAGGTAGCCAGTCTCAGCATTGCCCAGGTTCAAGGGAGGGAAGGAGAAGCCATTCAATGAACTGGAGGTCTCACCCCAACGGGGTTTCAATCTCTGTGTCATAAGAGAAGCGAGAAAGAGAACTTGATGAGAAAATTCTTCTCATATAGGACAGCAGTCATTCAGCCTCCATACTGAAATGTTCTGTCTTGTATTGAGAGGATGGAAGATTTTAACTTGAGACTGAAGGGACAGCTGTAAGAAGCAAAGAGCACTCAGACTGGCAGTGATCGGCAGTCCTCAGTGCCATGGAAAAATATAAAATCACAGTGCTCATAGTCAGAGCTCATACTGGAAACTTTCCTTCTTGCTTTAGAGAGCATTTTTTAAAGAATCATCTACGTTCTCTGACTAGACTCCCCCAGTTGACATTGCATTTGTCAGAACTGGATCATGCACACAATCTGAAGTGAAGCATTCAGACTACACACGTATTTATTGCTTTAAGCTTCTTGGAAAATGGTCAAGTTTCATAAAATAAAGTGCCTTTCCTACTGTAAAACACAGCTTGCCCTTTAAAAGCCAGTTGGTCACATCAGAACACTTAGGACCAGTCTCTGTAACTACCTCATCCTAGGCCATTCTCATCCTTGCCAGCATAAGCTGAATGACTAAGAACTGTATAAACAAAACAGACACTTCCTCCTCCTCCACATTCTTCATACATTCAAAGGATCCACCCTCCCTGATCATGCATCCTTCCAATGCCCTGACTGGCGAGATGAGCACAAGTTGAAGACTGCTCCCAGTTATTCATACTTCTCCTTTGAGGAGTTGTCATGGAGGGTGGGATATCTCCACCATGACAAAGAAAAAGCATGTGGGAGATTCCTGTGCACATCTGATAGAACTCTGACATAAGAAGATTCAGGGAACTGTGTCTGGCTGTGTTTCAGTGATCTATCACCACAACTCCACCCTTCATTTCATTTACAGAAAACTTCCTTTGCACGCAGAAATATCTGAAAAAGAAGAGAAGACACTTTCCTTCATTTAGATGGGCAATGATTTATTGCAATGGATGCAATCCTTGCATCTATTGTCATAGTGGAAGACAACATTGACTGAGCAGGAAGGCCCTGCTCTTTCCCCATATAGATTAGGAGACAAAGTAACTCACAGGCAGTTTGATTGGTAAAGTAGCGAGCCAGAGGGAGTCCGGTCCTCTCCTCCTCCTGCTGGCATCTTCAGGAATGCTCTCAGGAATTGCCCCTCGGTAGAAAGAGACCTTTGCAAACAGAAAGCATGCAGTGAGACTCAGATTCAAGCGCAGCAGGCAGATCTGTTTGCACCATAATGTTTCTGCCTGAGAAAGAATGAATTCATAGGCGAGAAATTCATCTATCTTCAGTCCATAAACAAGGCATCCCAATTAAGTGTGACTGGGAGCGGCACAGAAGTTTCTGCTGTAAAGATTGGACTCTGCCAACACCCTATTAGTTAAAGGCAGGAATGTAAAGTCAGTGAGCTATCCTGATGAGTGATCCTTCCAGGTATAGTCAGTGAAGTGTAGAGCACAATAAAAGTGATGATGATGATGATGATGATGATGAAGGAAACAAAATGTCAGTGTCAACTGTTGCTCACCTGGCCTTTTACAGCTTGGCCTTTCCTGTCTACTGGGGAAGTCACGTAGATTTCCTTCATGTTCTTCAAGTGGGAGTAAAAAATAAATGAGAGACGTCCATCCACACAGTCAGGGCGATCTGTAAGGGAGAAGCAGGCAACACTGAATTCGTGCTGAAAATTGTGCGTATTTTCAAGCCTAGCCAACAGCCCATCATCCACAGCAGCTCTTCTGCTACCATCCACTCCTACTGAGATCTGAAAGAGTGCTAATCCCCGTATCATTTTTGGGTACAAATAGAAAATTGGCTGTGCAGAAGGCAAGTCTCGTGGGTGAAAAAGGAGAATGGCCACAAGGTGGAGACCAAGTTCAAGAATGAAAGGCAGGGCTAGACAAGGCATGCAGATGGGGTCAAGTCCCTCCTCCAAAATGTCTCAGCTTGCAGCTGTAAGACATCTAGTCTCAGTGGGTATAAAAAAAGTCATTGTGAGTTTTGGCCTTGCTCCTTCTTTTCCTTCTCTCCTAATGGAAATGTAGAGGAAGCAAGAGACAGATACACATTACGTTTCATAAGAGGAATTCTCTGCCCTGGATCATTTCAGAAATACCTTCTCAGAGTTAAAAAAAAAAAAAAAAAAGAAAAAGAAAAGAAAAGAAAAAGGAAGACTTCTTTCTGTATGTTCACCTAGAAACAAACAATATGAGTTAGATCACCATAGGCATCCCAACACACTGTCTGAGATGCCAGGAAAAGGGCATTACTAGCTGCAGAAAACAGATCAGTCATAAAATCAAAGGGATATTGCCCTTTGAAGGCTACAGCAGTGTGACAGGAAACATAAGCCTGTAAAAAGTGTTTTTATAGGGAAAAATAGACACAAAAGTTGATGGACCAGAAAATGTGACGGACTAAGCGTCCAGGGGCTGTGGGTGAGCAAGTACACCAAGCACAGAGCTCCCAGAAGAAACAGGCCTGGAGCTAGGAACGTCAGAGAGGCAGGAGCAGAAAGCACTACCATACCCATATCGATGCTGATGCCTCTCTCAAAAGCTGCAAAGAACTGCTCTCCTTCAAACATTTCCACCATGTCAGATGGCTCAGGTCCTCGGTAGCGGTCCTGCAGCTTCTTCAGCACTGGGTCAACCTGGCAAAGATGACAAAACAGGACCCCACCTTTGGTCTGAAGCAAATATCTGTTCCCATACATCCCTATGCCTATAATGTTCCCTTCGCTCACCTTCAATTTAGAAAAATAATTTTCCACAGAAAGGATGTAAATGAACAAATGAACAAAGCCCCAAATCCTATATATCAGACACATTTACTACAGAAAAAAAAAAAAAAGAAATCATCAGCAACACCCCTGTCTTTTTTAACAGGTTGTTATTCTTCAAAGACCGGGATTTACTTGCTACCTCTCATAGTATGTCACCAAAAACATTTTCTCTGCAGAAAGCTACATGCTAAAAGAGCATACAGCTGAGGACACCAGATAACTCATTTAAGTAATGCAACCTGGAATAACACTGCAAGACCTGGGGTCTCAAGGCAGTGCAAGTGTGTCTATTTTTCTTTCTATCTGTATCAGTAAACCTTCACTTTTACCCCATGACCATCCCTGGCAATAAAGCAGAGCCCCAGCATCCTGATCTCAGTGAAAGTGCCATTGCTGTCTTCTCTGTGAAGCAGAATTCTAGCCCAATATCCAAGATATCAGGAACCCTTACAGTTGTTTATGCCCTTACAGTTATGTTTCTCAATACAGGAACAGTTGCTTACAGTTGTTTATGCCCACAGGTCCTCTCAATACAGGGGAATAAATAAATTAAAAGGAAGCAACCAAATCAGAGTATTATACAGAGGCTTGGAATATGCAGGCCAGGCCAGAGCTAGTAATATGATTAAATAACCCTTGCCTCACTGACCTGCACTGTCTCTGTCAAGGTATAAGTTCTCCAAACACAGATATACATTTCCTTTGCTAATATCTGAAGCAATCCTGCTGAGGGATGATAACCTTAAGACAGAGGCAGCAGAAAAGTAAGCGTTGCCCTCTTCTTCAGTACAAAACCAGACAGATTAGCTCAAACAGCCCTCCTGCACAGCATGAACTAATCAGATATTGCACAGAAGCACATTAAGGAGGTTCCACTGCTTGAGTTGTAAACAGCAAGGAACACTGGGAAAAACTTTCTAAGCAGTTCTGTAGAAATGAAAGCAGTGCTTCTGCTGCCCATGCTACTCACCTGTGTCAGACAAGTAACGTGTCAACTTTAATATTGTAAGTGAAGCTTATGCCAACACACTTTGCCTCATGTTTTCTGATGGCTAACACCATTCACAAGGCCAGTTACTGTGGCTCAGCTGAGTTTAGCAGTCCAGTTTTCAAGCTTTGCAGAGGAGGAAATCACTGCATGGCATCCACCAGTGCATAGAATGAGTCCTTCTTCTCCTGATTCCCAGTGAACTAGTATCACACTACTAACACAGAGTGGTAACAGCACACCTCAGCCATGACCTTGGGGCAGTGACCAGAACCATTTGGCACATTACTGCCCTTGCATCCTGCAAAAGGAGGCCCAGGGAGCTGAGGAGAAATGCAACCCATACTAGACCTTGTGCTTGGGGAGACACTGTAGCAGGACTTGCTCGGGATCCTTCTTCCTCTGCAGAGCAATGAAGTTCACCTGGTACATACGTAACCGCTCATAAACTTTCTTGGCAATGCCTCCAATGTAGGTCTTGGTGGTGTACCACAGCCAGTACCTGTCAGATTAAGAATTGAGAAAAAGGATGGATCCTGCCTAGGAAGAGAAGTTGGTGTCATATTCATGAGACTGCCAACAGTTTGGGTCTTCAGTGATCATTTCTTCACAGGAGAAGCATGCTTCAGCAGCTTTCTGATCCTCTGATTCTGGCTCACAGCATATAAGTACTCAGACTGAGGGTGAAGGATAAAGTGAAGATTTAAGTGAAGAAAGATTTAAAGACAAGAAGGTTGACGGTGGTGAGAAAGAAATGGAGAACTTGGGAGCTGAGAGGAGTGTGGTCTGAAAACCTGCAGCTGAAGGACTGTAAATTCAGAGTGGGAACCACTACATTGAGTGCATTTGCTCTAAAGACACTATGCTTGCAAATCTGGACTTCTTTGCATTGCCAGAAAAGAAGGATTGAGAGCATTCCAAGGAGCAGTAGCTTTTCTCCAGTGAAAATACACAACAGGAAAAGAGATCGGGGTTATGGTCAGCAGGTAAAAAACGGTGGATAGAGACAAAGTGCTGAGCTGGATCTGACTTGCAAAGGGAAAGAGAAATAGGTAGAACTAATGGCATAACTCCTGGTTAGGGTTTGGGAAAAGCAAGACAGAGAAACATCCCATAATTTCCTCAGGATTAAACCTGCACTTACCAGGAGAAGTGGGTGACTTCAAATACTGCACAGAGATGAGTGAGTTCCAGCATCACTTCATTGGTGATGTCATCCCAAGTTTGGCCTTCCACATCCCCACAAAGAAGATGCAGCCTTGACCAATCCAAGTTTAACCCTAAAGACAACAATGATCAAGAGATGTTGCATACAGCAGAATTCTTTAACATGAGGTGAAAATATATGTATATGTATATATGTATATGTATATGCCTTGCTACCTTTACTCAGAGCTTTTCAAACCCAGCCACAGTTTTGGGTGATTTACTTTTTAAAAGTGTCCAGTTAAGCCTTAAACTAAAACTTAAACTAAAGAAGAGCAGAATAAAAGAAAAGGCAATCTGAATGCTAGAATATTCTCCAGCAATATAGACTCACTAGACAATTCTCATCATCAATACTTAGGGCTATTAAGATTTTATCTCTTTCTAAGCTTGTGGACTGGAGGTTTTTCAATCCCGATGCACTTCTGACACACAAATACCAGGTGGTCTTACAACAAAGGCCAAGCCAACACCCAAAAATCTTTTATTTCCTCACGAGAAAGCCAAAACATGCCAGGGAAAACTGGAATTAGAAGATGCAGAGTATTCAGCACATCACCAGAGGAATCCCTGGTAAATCTACTGTTGATTTGAGGCTCTTCATAGTAGTACTCAGAGTGGCTCTATGTATAACTGTATAATAACTGAAAGATTGCAGTAGCTCAGAACCTGATCCATCAGCAGGAAGTTGAATAGAAAGTAGATCCCTGGAGGCATCATCTTCATTATCAACTTCAAGCTATTCCCAGTCAGGAATCAAAGCTTTTTTACAATGCATTTCCCTGTTTTGTAGAAATGCCTCTCCAAACCATCATACCAAACCCAGCAGTCCAAACACACATGTGGCTCAGCAGGGAAATCTATTTGCCACAGCAGTTCTCCTAGCTTGCATTGCTGGTCCTGTGAAGCCCAGCGCTGGCCTGCTGGGCTTCAGCTGCCTTCAGCTCTCAGCACTGCACCAGCACCAAGCACACAAATGTACCTTGCTGCTTCTGCAGACAAAGCTAATTGGTTATTAACATTGAGTCAAACAAAATGCCCAGCTTGCCGCTTGCTGTTTTCCACACAGTGTTTCTGCTCTCCAATTTTGAGAATAAACTGACCTGTAACCCCAAGTGGGAGTGGGAGCTGAATTCTCACAGGTCTGAGGAAATCTACCAGGGAATCCTGGGAGAGGCAGAGCAGAGGACTGGCTTTGCATCCTGCATCAGCTGTGAGTTCCGCTATCTCTTCTGCAGAGACTGGCAGAACCTGTGCATAGGATGCAACACAGAGAGAGGAGCAATCAGACACCCAAATTCCCTCATTTCCCACACAGTTCTCCCAAACACTCAGCAAGCAAATACAGCTCTTGGCTCAGGACACAGTGGGAAATGGAAGCATAGTGAACTTCATCTGAATTTCGCTTTAACATTGGTGTCACCTGGGCAAGTTGGGACAGGGCAATGTATTACAATAGCATTTAGCAGCATCCACCAACTTTACAGAACAACCACCAATTTTAGTGGGTTTGCTCTAGAGTTAGATCTGCATAAATAATCTCTGCAAATCTCTCTTGCTGAGCTGTTCTGCCAGGCTCAGTGTATTCTGTAATGGAACAAGAAGCAAATGATACTTCTCTTCATGATGTCTTTGTGCTGATCTGCAGGGAGGAGCACCACAAGGAAACCCACTTTCCCACAGGGGGGCAGCTTGAAGAACAGCCCATTTTGCAGGCAGGAAAACTAAGGCAGAAAGTGCTAGGAGATGGGTCAGCCCATGAGGCATCCATGTCAAGACACTACTTACTCTAGAACAGACATTTCACCTTGTGTTTTGCTGCTTGACATAGGTTAGCAGCTGCACCAAGGGCTGACCAGGGCTCCCTTTTTTAGGCATGCATACCTGCAGTTTGACACTGCGAGTCTCTTCAGTGACTCCAGGAGGGAAGGTCACTTTGATGTTTGGATCCACACTGGAAAAGAGCAATGTCCCCTCTGCTGACACTTTGCATTCATTTTGCACAAGTCGAGATACAACAAGGAACCAGGAGAAGTGAAGAACACTACAACGAGCCACGTCCTTCTGTAACAGAGGACAGGGAAGAAAAGAAAACATATGGGCATTCCACACAACACTCTAATGGCAGGAAAAATAGAGGCAGTAACACCAAAACAGATAAGAGCATCAGGATGAAAAGAGCAGCAAGTCATCACCTCCAGCAGACACACCTCCACGAGAAAGGAACCCTACAGCTGAAATCCACTCTATTTCATAGCAGCCAGTCAAAACACAGCTCATGAAATATTTCAAGCAGACTCCCCCATGGCTGAGCAAAAACAGAGTGACAGGAAAGATGTGTGTCACCAGTCACTCCAGCCTGCTTACCTTACTCTTGTCCACTCGTGTTCTCAGGTCACTCCAGCTCTGCCCACTGAAGGTCCGAACAACCACCTCACGCTCGTGAAGAGTTTCTGGAGAGGCATATGGCATCCAGATCTCTACCTCCTGGCACAAAAGCAGTCCCGTAAGACACCAACATAAAGCCTCAAATCAAGCCTAGCTCTGCTCAGTGGCATCTTGGGCAAACAAAGGGAGGAAAAGCATGGCCCATAGGAAGGGAGTAGGGCAGGAGATGGGAGTCTGCTCTGTCTTGCAGCCTTGGGAGAGGTGACAAGACATCTGATGTGCTGTGTATTGTGACTGCAGGAAAAGCAGCCTGTGGGCAGAAATGGCAAAGTAGCCTTTCCAGTGAGTTGTCACCCACAACAGAGCTGGTGATGTGAGTATTCACCAGCAAGAATGAAAATGACACTATCAGACTTTTGGGGAACAACATAAACCATTTTCCTTGCAGATTAAGGGCAAATGCTAAAAATCATGGAGAAAGAGGGTTGTGAGCAAGGAAGGTTACAGCTCAGCTCAAGCAGAAGTACTTGGAAAGGAAAAGGAACCAGAACAGCACAGTACCAAGGAAGTTGGTTGCGTTCTTTGAATCTCTGCAGTGCAGCTTCTTTGACAGCTACTTACAAATAGCAGTGAGGGGGATAGCTGGCTCTAAAGTCCCAAAGGACTCTCCCAAAAGACTCTGCTGAGCTACTGCATAGGCAGATTATTCAGCAGCAGCCTGCGTCTGCCCTCACCTTCTGGAATTTGACCCCATGAGGTTGTAACTCCAGGACTTTGCTCAGCAGGACATCATGGTGTCTCAGCTTCACCCACTGAGGGTCTGGTGCCAAGGTTCGGAAGTAGATCCGCAGAGGGTCAGAGGCAGCCTCTGGTGGAAAGTAGAAACGGATGCCACAGGCCAGGAACACTTCGCAACCTTCAGAGGTCACTGTGAAACTTCCAGAAGAAATACATGAATGTGTGACACTGCAATGACTCCAACCCTTCAAAAAGTCAGCAGAGAAATCTCCCACCTTGCGTATGACTGGCCTAGTGAGGCAGTAAGCTGCCTGTGCACATACAGAATGTCTACCATGTATAATCTTGTCTGGGGCCTTGTTACACTACTGTAATATAAGTTCTTAGTAAAGAAGCATACCTATCCTCTTCCGATGCAAGGAACAGTCTTGGTAGCTCTGTGGCACTGGATTCATCTGCAGCAACCAGGTTTCAGTAAGAAGAGGAGGCAGAGGTTATTTAGATGAAGTTAGACAAGAAAGATTGAATTAACCTTCCAGTTTTGACTTAATCCTAATCTGACAGAAGTTGCTAAAGGAACCCTGCCCGCACAGTAGTGGGCTTCAGATCAAGCAGAAGCAGCAGGAAGATATGAAGAAGTCAAGGGGTCCCAGGGCACACTGGAAATGCTGATTCTGTCCCCCAGTAAAACTTAGGAGTTAGAAAATCTACCAGACCCGCAACTCTCAGGACCATGACTGATCACCTATGGCCATTTGTTGTGAATGTAAGCACTACTGTGAAACTCTGCTCAGATTTCTGCTCACTCATCATTGTATGGGAACTGCTGAGTCACGGCCTGAACCTCTGATTGATCACCTGAGACGATCCATGAGTCAGCCAGAGGAGCACAGGTGAAGGCAATTCACTCTGTGCTGCTCCTAGACCTATTTAAGAGCTGGCTACCAGCGGGGAAGGATCTTGTCTGAAGGCTGCCTCTGCTGGTGTTTTTTGTAGGTGAGCCTAGCATACAGGTAAGCCTTCAATTTATTCTCTCATTATCTTAGTCTACTTTGCCTAACTCTCTCTTGTTCTTTTTGTGATTATAACATCTTAGTATCCATTGATTATACATCTCAATATCCACTGATTATGCAATCATCTTTGTCTCAGAGAAAGGGCTGCTTTGCCCTGCAGCCCAGGAAGAAGGGCAAAGCAGGAGGCAACTGCACAGTTGAATCATCTCTAATTTCTCCTGTGCTTCTAGCGTGAGCCACCATGGCCTGAAGGTCATGCACCAAGTCCAAGAACCAGTATTCTCCCTTAATGTACCCTTCTGATCTGTTTCATGTGAATCCAATTTTCACTTTCACTGAAAAATCTTTCCAAAGAGCAGGACTAGCAAGCCAGTTTCTGGGACATCTGAGACCTTCAGAACAGGCTCAGGCTCATAAAAATAAATTGCCTGAATCACTACAACTTAATAATAATGCCACACAAATAAACACTAATCTGATTGCCCCCTGCTTCTCTTCTTTAATTCAAACCCATTCATGCCATGCTGGGCTGAGCAAGAGAACAGCTGGGCAAAACCCACAGAAGCAGAAGCCTTGCAATTACCAGCCTGCAGGGACTGCTCAGTTTCTCCTAGGGGGTTGCCTCGGAGGTGCACAAATGGCGCAGTCTGTATCTCAGGGGGGACAGCACGGAGGAAGTTGTTCTGCAGATCAAGCCTGGACAAGTTGGGCAGGCTGGCGAGCGATGCAGGGACTGTCACCAGAAGATTGCTGTGAAGATGCAGCCGCCGCAGAGACTTCAAATTGGCTGCAGGTTAGAACAGGCAATGACTCCCCATCCATGCTGTTAGTTGCATTGCATATCAGCTCTTTCCACACACTCACACACTCCTGCCTTTCAGCACTGGATATCCATTCCTCTCACACACATGCAATAAGGGAAAGGCACAATAGCTCTATGTTTCTTTAGTTCCCAAAACAAATGAGGCTACTGAACTAGCAGAGAGGCAATGCAGCCACCTCTGTTCTGTGCTTTACAGCATCAGTGGCACCTCCTGAGCAAAAAGAGAGGAGTTGAGAGCCAGTAAAGCTAGGGAAAGCTGGGCACTGGAAATCAGAGCCTGGCTCAGTGGATTGCTCCATAACACAGAGCCTGATTTCAAGCTGTTTTGCTTCCTCTTAAGCCCCAGCTCTTCTGTTTCCAGTGCTGGATGCTCCCCCCCCAAAAAAAAAAAACAGTCAGGCAAGACTCAACTACTTTAGGTTGCATGAAAATCCTAGGAGCCTTTCTGATTCACAGAAACAGAAAGCATGGACCATAGACGCCCTGTTAATGCCCACAGGACTGACTTAACCAAGCATGTTTTTTCCAGATATCCCTCCCATTTTGGCTCTAGTGTAGCAGACGCTTTGTCCTAGCAATTCTGGGAACAGAGGCAAAGGGCTCAGGGATCCTAGCCTGTATCAAAAACTCAGCAGACTCTTTCTTATCACCTAAGAAAACAGGTACCTAAACAATCTGGGATGCTTGAGAGCAGATTCCCGGAGAGATCCAGTTCTGTGCAGCTGTGCAGATTTCCAACCTCTTCAGGGAGATGTTCCAACACATTTTCTGAGAGATCCAGTTCCTCCAGTGCTGCCAGCTCCCCGATGCTCTGAGGTAAGCACTTCAGCTGATTTTTCATAGCAGAGAAGAAAGTCAGCTTGCTCAGTGAGCCAAAGTTCTCAGGAAGAGCCACCAAGTTGTTGTGGCTCACCAAGAGCATGCGGAGGCTGGTGAGGTAAAGGATGCAGCTGGGCAAGGTAGAGAGACTATTGAAGCTGAGATCCAAGTGAGTGAGACATCTCAGGGTCCCAATACCTGGTGGCAAGCTTGTCAGGGAGCCGTGCTGACATGAACCAAATTCATCTCTGACATGGCCACCTAGGTGCAAAGGGGAGTGGGGGGAGAAGTCAATATAGTACAAGGATACCTCATCAGCCTCATGTAACACTCCTTTCTGAAGCTATAACATGGAGACTCAGACGATGGTGAGTTTCTGATCACAATGTGCAGCACTAATTACAAAGTTTTGTAGGTTTTCTGCACCTTGCCTCCATTTCCTGATCTGTGAAGATCTGCTGGGAACCCATAGAACCCTGCTTAACACATGTGGGGCAAAGTTCAGAAAGACCCAGGCCACTCCATACACATACCACCACTCAGTGTAGTGGCACACACTCTTGCAAGCCTCCTGAACGTTCTACCCCTGGTGCCAACACCAGTGGGCAACACACAACGCTTTATGAACGAGACCTTCCTCACACACCTTCCAGACTCTGCCCACATTGCTGGGGAATGAACAGCCCCAAAGAATGAGACCTGCCCTTACAAGACAGATGAGAAAAGCAGTGAAAATGTGGCAAAAAAAAAACAAAACAAAACAAAAAAACAACACACAACAACTCATTCAGTATTGTGTAGGCCACATGAAAGCACAAAGAGAGAAGGGCACAGGTCCTGCCCGGGTTTGGACACTCCAGGCGGTTGCACCTTGGAAAAAGAAGTCAAGTACACAAAAGCAAGCTTCCAGCTCTTCGCTATTTTCCCTCCACTGCTTTACTTGTGATGGCATATAGGGGTGGGTAATTTTGTTATGCTACATAATGGCAAAGAATGTAAATAATCTAAGAGAAACATTGTATGAGGGACCTAACAAAACCCAGTCCAACTATTTTATTGCACTTCAGGATGTTTAGAGTATGTGTACAAAACAAGTATCATAAAAGGCATTGCCATTAACCTCACCTTACTGCAGGAGAAAAGACAGATGAAATGATCTGTATGAGATTTTATAAGCAATCTGTGGTAGGTGTGGAAATGAAGCTCAGTTGTGAGAGCTTTCAGCTGGATCCCTGAATTCTCTCCTCTCCCGTGATTTTAAAATTTCACCTCCCAAAGATCAAATGACTCAATCTCATACTAAAATTATGTTGTTCATATTGAGACCCTCCTACAATTAAGAGAGAAGGAAATCAAGAAATGTTATAATTCAGACTTGTGTCATTACAGAATGTCAAATGACACACGCTCTGAGGCATGCTTTTATAAAATATTGAACAGCCTCCTCTGGTGTGTGCTAAACCTATGCTCACTGACACAATGCAAGGATTATGTTGGGGCTGATTCAGAACAAACCCCAGCAAGGGCAGCTCATTATACTAACAGAAATGAAAAAGGAGCCGAACAGTTAAAAGCATTTTTCGATTTCCCTCTTTTTACACAGCTGTGCAAAAATTGCTCTTCTTCTAGAGGATGGATAAAGAAAGTGTTGCAGCATCAACCTAACCAGGCTCCAAAAACTGGTCCTGACGCAGCTGTAGAGGCAAAGGAAGGATATAAGTATCTAGAAGCTGATTCTTGTTGAAATCTGCGTGCAGCTCTGAGCAAGACTAAGAGCTGATGCCCTGGCTTGGGGCACTGGAGCAAAAAAGCTCTAAGGCAGCTTGCTTTGCAGATATGGAAAGATGGAAAAACACAAACATGAAGCTAGGCGATGGGTCCAGGAACTCACCTTTGAGCACCAGGGACTTCAGGCGCTTCAGATACGGAAGGACGATCAGCGCAGCATCAAGCAAGTGATCGTTACTGCTGAGCCGGAGGAGCTCCACCTGCACCACCTCTGCCAGTTGCCTCTCAAACAGTTGGAGCAGCCGACAGCAGCCATCCGGATAAACATCCAGAGTGAGCCTGTTGTATGCCAAGCAGGAGTCAGTGAGCAAAGGAGCCCCCGGAGCCCCCTCCTCATGCTCTTCCACGAGCTTCAGCAGCTCTGCCATCTTCTGCATCTTGTCCAGGGGGGCCAGACATGCTCTGACTTGCCAGGTGGGCAGGCAATGGCAGGCTGCGGGGATGGGGAAGAGGAGAAAGGATGGCTCTGAAAAAGAGCAGATATGCATGCTGAAGGCCTCCTGCCCCAGCCTGAGGTGGCTGGAAACTGTTAAGAGCCACAACAAGAAGGCAGGAGGTGTACTGACAAAAAGCTTTGTGGGCAGAAGGGACAGAAATGCAGAGCTCTGTAGAATCACAGAATGGCCAGGATTGGAAGAGACTTCAAGGATCACGAATCTCCAACCCCCCTGCTGCAGGCAGGGGCACCAACCTCCCCATTTAATACTAGACCAGGCTGCCCAGGGCCCCATCCAATCTGGCCTTGAACACCTCCAGGGACAGGGTATCCACAGCCTCTCTGAGCAGCCTGTTCCAGCACCTCACCACTCATAGTAAAGAAGCTTCTTGTTCCTAGAGAGAGCATCTAAGTTCTCCCAGCTGATATCAGGCAATCAGGCAAAATGAATGCAAATTCAGGGAACAGAGTAAATGTCTGTTATTCCAATTATCCATCATAATAAATATTGATAGGAACTTTAAAAGGTATAAATGTAAGTGCCTGTGCTTTGTGTAGAACACAAAGTGCCTCAGTGAGAAGGTTTATGCAAGCAGAGAAAGCGGGGCAGGGAATGCAGAGACAGGAGCAGCAGCGCTCCCAGGCCAGCATGCTGCCACCAACCCTCATCCAACCCAGTTGTGAAATCGGGTAACAGTGGCAGGAACACGGAGATGGAAACAGGCAAAAGGCAGTGGAGCAAATGTAGCGTGGCTGGGGAGAGGATATATAAGGCAGGGCTACTGCATAGGGCTGCCACTCTCACCAGCAAACAGGGCAATGAGCCACGGCAGGTAGCACCCCCAAAAAGAGCCATCGCACGCAGCTCCCGGAAGTTGCAGAAACTCTCCGAGAGACACACGTGGCAGACACTTTGTGAAGCTGTGGAAAGCTCCGAGCAGCCCCCGAGGCCCCGCTCCCGGCTGCACCGCCCCGCGCCCCGCTGAGCGCGCCCGCCTGGCCCCGCGCACACACACACACACCCTGCGTCCCCGCGCCCGGCCGCTGCGGCTCGGCCCCACCGCTTCCTGTCAAATCGGTCCCGGGGCGGGCCGAGGGGGGGGAAGTGCCGCGGCGGCGGATGCGGGGAAGCGAGGTGTGCTGCCCTGCGCAGCGGGACCGGGCCCGCGGGGACCGGGGCAGCGGACCCTGCGGTGTTTCTTGCGCTCCCCGTGTTGCTGGCGGAGCGCCGCTCCGAGGCGCTTCCCCAGGTGCAAAGCCTGGCGGTGCTCTACCAGCGGGGGGAAACCGCCGTGCCCTTGAGGAAAGGCTGTTTCCTCAGAGCAAGTCTCGCTCGGGGGGACAATCAGCGCATTCTGGGATACAACCCTTCGGGAGCAGCTTTTCGGTTACACAAAGGGGAAACGACCACTGCCATCTCTGCACCCCGACTGCGCATGCGCGGCCCTTAGCTGTACAGAGCGGCGGTTGCGAGCATCCCGAAGCTCCCCATTGGTTGGCCCTCTCGCCTGGCCCGGTGCAATGGCAGCGCGCGTTGTTAAGAGGTGACGGGAAGAAGGCGTTGCCGAAGCCCCGCCCTTTCCTTTTCGCCGCTGGGCTGCCGCAGCGACCGCACGTTCCGGGCCTGTCTCACGCCGCCACCGCCTCGCCAAGTGAGCGCGGGGCGGCTCCGTGCCCCGTACCGCCGCCCCTTCCGCGGGAATGAGCGCTCCCCGCCCGCGGCCCTCAGCGGGGCTTGGGCGGGACCGCTCGGGACAGGGAGGTGGGGTAATGGCGGCCATGTGCTCCGCCGGCCTGGGAGGAGAGGGACGGGACGGGACGGCAGCGCCGAGGCGGAGCGATTTCCCCATCGGGAGACGTCGGGCCGCGCTGAGTGCGGGCTATCGGGATAGCGAGCCCTGCTGGGCACGGCGGGGTTCGTGGCCTCCGTGCTGGGCCTGCAATGGCGGGAGGCGGGAATGCGGCCTCTCCCGCCTCAGGTTTTATTTAATGAGTAGAGCAGAGGGGAAGGAAGATACTGGTTATCAAGCTAGATCTGTCGCGTTAAAGATTTCGGTTTTGTTTTCCAGGATGCGTTACGTTGCAGCATACCTTCTCGCAGTCCTTGGTGGCAATGAATCCCCCACGTCAAAGGACTTGAAAAAGATCCTCGACAGCGTTGGCATTGAGACGGACGATGAACGCCTCAACAAGGTGGTGCTGCACTCTGCTTCCAGGGCTTACGTCCCTGTTGGTGTTGAACGTTGGAGCTGTTCTCTTGTCTTCAGTGTTTCTTTATTTCCCTTTCTGTTGGTGTGATATTATTTCTCACTGATAACATGATTTCATTACATTACATGATTTGCATGTGTGTTATACATGATTGCATACATATATGTAATCGTGACCACATAATTCCATACACGATTTCCAAAATGCTGCTGAGCCCATCAGAACTGTTTTGTACAGGCATCTTTGTGGAAGTCTGGCTTTACCAGTTGCTGCCTTCTGACTTAAATCCAAAGAATTCGAAATATAATGGGATGATAGCTACAGATAATATTTACAGAAAGTGAATTCTGTTCAAATGTAATGTGAGGTTTGCACTTGAATGCTTAACTTTGGCTTTTGGTCAGTTTTAGTTAGCAACAAACATTTCTGAAGATCTGATATTCAGCATTATGTTATCTTAGTGTACTGTAAAGAAGTGTTTGTACCATCTGTGATTCAGGAAGAAACATAGCTAAATTATAGTGTGGACAGTTAAGGTATTCAGTAATAGGATGTAGGACAATTTTAGAAATAATTGCTGAAATGGTTGTATTGAGAAACAGGCTTTTAAAGAGAGAGTATCCTAATTGAATGTTTCTTGTGAGGCAGCAGTCCTTTCTTTTGGGCTGGAGGATAAATGGCCATGGGATGAGAGGGGAAATCTTGTCATCTGCCCCATACATGTATGCAGAGCGCTTCTGGAGAGGAGAAAGCTGTTAGAATGTTTTGCCATCAGTCCAATCCAATAACGTATGGACCTAGCTGAGAGCATTCTTATATGGTTTGGGATCTTGGCTTGAACTTACGGTGCTCTTGTTTAAACACAAGATCCTTCTGCCTTGGCTCGTTTACGTTTCTTTAATACCTTCATACTTGTTTTCTGTGATCCTCCAGTATCTCCATTATCAGAGAAGGCATCTCTGGAATTGGTGCTTTTCAAGATTAATTCATTCATTTCTATTTGCACTGGCTGCATCTTTTGCCAGTATAAATGTAGTGGGCTCCCAACAGCATCTTCTAGTTTTAGCAGGCACACAAGAATGTAATTTCACAGCACACAGCAGGAGGTGCATGCTGGAAATATACCAAAAGTTCTTTGGTGACTGCAGTGTTCACCCTCTTAGCAGGAGTTCACCAGTAAGATCTGTGAGGTACTTTATTGTTTTTATAAAATGTTAGATCATTTTTTGTTTCTGTGTGTTGCTTTCCTCACCCCTGATATAACAATGGTAGTAAACCTGAAGTTACGACTCTCTGTGCCAGTGCAGGGGTGTAACCAGCTTGGCTGTAACATCTGGTAATGTTAGGAACAGGGCCCTGTTTGGTCTGATGCCCAGCACTTCAGAGCCTCCCAGTGGATATTGAGCAACACATGCAAACAGTCCCACAGCAACTAACAGACCATTAGTGGGGTTTCCCAGTTGGCTTAGGGACATCTGTGTATCTTGCCTTTGGTAAAGTTCATGGGTTCATTATGAATTTATTGTAATAGATTTCACAAAGAAGTTTTTGCAGAGAGGAAAAAAAATGTAGATGCAGTTCTTACTGCAGTGTCTTGTTCCTTCTACTGAGAAATAAGGAATGCTGGAGCTGTGCAAGCAGCAGGATGGAGCCATTGCACATAGTAATCAGTACTTGTTTAAATGTAGCTTATACTCATGTTGTTTTGAAGCTATTAACGTTGTAAATGTCATTTACACAGGTTATTAGTGAGCTGAATGGAAAAAACATTGAGGACGTCATTGCTCAGGGTAAGTACAGTCTTGAGTGTCACAGATAATTGCCTCTGCTACTTGGGTAACTTAGACTTGAGAGTGCAGAATTGCTGCCAACTTCCTGATTATTCACCATTTTCCTCTTGCAGTGGAGAACTTTCATGCTATGTTTCTGCTGAAATGCTTGAAATTCAGCAGGTCCATTCTAATACCTAGCAGGTTGGTGCCAGTACCTGTGGGGTTTCGCTTGTGGACCACATTATACTGGAAGACTTAAATGTGTATGAGCTTACTGGTAGTTTGCTCATGACATAGTTTTCTGGACATATTGAATGAAAAAAGAATTAACTGTTCTTTCTTTTATTTTTTCGTTTACTCATTTGTATACACCTCTTATTTAAGATATTTAAGTGTAATTAAGTGTCAATCCACTTAAAGGCACAGTTACACCCCAAGTGATAAATACAAACCTTTCCAGCACACATCTCTTCTGGGGCTTCCCACATCTGGTAACTCTGTCAAGGACAGAATTCTTAAGTGCTGAAGGATGTTTGAAAGCTTGTGCTCTTACCTGCTGGCTCCTATTGAATCTGGGACTTGACTGGGTCATAGGGCTGAAACAATGCAGAGTTGAGGTAGTGCAAAGATCTAGACATAATTATTTTCTATTTTTGAAAGTACTAAGGCAAAAGGGAAGTTTTAAGAATATGTTTGCTTAAATATTGCCAGGACTCTGCCTGGTATTGCTGTTCTGAGTGGTAACTGGGTGTCCTCTTGGTGTGGTCTGAAGGCCTAAGAGAGCCATTATGTGTGCGCTTACAACACATTAATTGTTTCTTTATGTAATACTTTTTCTTAAAACAAATTGTTTCTTAGAACATACTGACATGCATATGGAACATGTTTGTTTACTTGGCTGGTTCATTAGAGCTTGAAGTAACAAGGAATTATTTGGAAACAGATTCCCAGAAACTGGCATATAAGCAAGCATACACTGTACATGACCTCTGGATGCCAAGGGAGCCTTAGTATGTGAAAGGTAGCTGCCAGAGAGCTAACTTTTCCAAAGACAAGCATAAATCAGGAATGAGTTTGCTAATCTCCAAGGAGATGCAATAGGTTTCATAGGGTGTTGGAAAATTTGGTTAAGATACTGTACTCTTTGCCATACATATCTTTTTTCTTTTCCTCCCC